TGTCTTCATCTCTCCTGTTTCTTCCTGCCTCCCCTGGTCTCAGGAACATTGACCAAAGGCCTCTGCTGGGGCAGCAGAAGTTCAAGACCACTGAGAGTGGGGGAGTGGGCCCCGGCCACACAGCACTCCCAGGGGCCACATGAGGAGGGTTCAAAAACCTCCCCGGGGCCTGAGCCCAGGACCTCCGCTTCCAGGGCCGGGGGCTGAAGACTTGGGCCACACCCGTGTCCCCGAGCTCTGTCCAGATTTGCCTGCTCTGTTTCTCCAGCTCCGGCTCCCGCACTGTCCTGGAGATGCCTGCCTGGATCTGCAGCCCACCTGGCCTCTCCTGAGCCCAGATGCCCCAACCCACCCCCAGCGGACTCCTTCCCAGGACTTTCTCCCCCTGTCCCCCAGGCCCACACTACGCCTCCCACAAGCCCTAATGATCCCACAAGCCCTAATGATGCCAGCTGCATGTGGACAGACTTCATTTTTGAGAAACTGCCTGGCCATTCTCCTTCCCTTTCAACCTGTCCCCCTCTGTGGCCCTCTTCTCCTGGCCCCTGGACTTTGCCTGCTCTCAGGGATGGGGAACATTCCTGGAGCCTGTGGCTGCCGCTGCTCCAGAGTCCCGGACCATCAAAAGCGTGGCAGCTCAGGGCAGAATGACCGGGCTCCCACCTCATCCTTGAAGATGAGGCCATTGCCTTATGCTCAGACCCCTAAAGAAGCCGCATGGCCAGGGCCAGGGTGCAGGCGTTTGTTTGGAAGGTGATTCCAGGCGGTCCTGGGAATGGACACGCGGAAGGAGAGGAGCCAGCGATGGAGGGTGGGCCATGGGGCGAGGAATGTGCCCAAATCTGCCCGAGAGGTATCCTCACTGAGGACTGGGAAGCAGGTTTTCACCTACTGACCCCCGTCCTTCCTCGGTTGAGGGTTGCCCTTGGGGCGTTAAATCCCTAACGTTTAACAGTGGAAGTGGCCGGCACAGACAGAGTTCCTGTGAGCCCAGGTGGCCCCAGGTGGACCCGGGCAACTGTGAGTGAGCGTGGAAGGGAACCTGGGCCGGCAGGCGAGGCCTCTGTCTGCATCCCTGTGTTACCCTGCCTCGGGGCACATCAACGCCTACCCCCACCTTCAGGGCTCGGAGTAGTTTACTAACTTTTTGTTTTCTCTTTTGCTGAATAAATGGAATTTTACGTGGTTATTCCACAATATAGCCAGCTGATTTCACTTACTTTTGAGGGTTACTTTCACACAAGCGTAATTATATTCCCATTCCAGAAATTAGAGCAGGCAATCCCAACTCCCAAAGGCGCCTTCAAGGGTGCTGTCCCTACAGGCACCTCTCCTTTCCTGGCAGCAACCTAGGCCTTTCTGCGCATGCGCATCCCAGCCCAGGGCCCGGTGAAGCTCCTGGGAGGCAGAGCTGCCTGCATTTGACGGGAGGGAAAAGCACCAGACGTTACTCATCTGGAGAGACGGACAGGCCAACGCTGCCCTTCCTGCTGCCTGGGAGGGGCGCCTCCTGCCTAGGACTGTAGGGGCCTCTGTCTGGTTTGTACCCACTCACCCCACAGCCTCGCTGTCAACACCCATCTTAGTGTAGGGAGAAACCATCATAGCGAAGCCTGCAGGAACCCTGCTCTGTGAATTCCTCACCCCAATGCAGACGTGGTCCCAGGGCTCTCCTGTGTAGCCCACCACCGTGCCAGCCAGGGTCCCCGAGGCTGGTCATTGTTCTGGCCCAGGGTCACCCGCAGAGGGATCCCTGAAAAGGACCAAGAACAGCCCCTAAGTCCCTAAATCGAAATTGAGTATTCTCAAAAGGACTTTCTCTCCTGGCCCCTGGGTGAGCACCACCTACTTGTGAGAGATACTTTGCAGAAGGAAAGTGTTCTCAATAAAATGTCTCTAATGTATTCAACTAAACAGCAGGATTAAATTAATAACCTGCTGTTCAATTAAACTTGCTCCTGGACTAAAGTTTTAAAAGAAAGCTTCTTTGGGATTTGTACTAGCAAGAAAAAACCAAAAATAAAACAAAACAAAAAACAAACCTTCTGCTGAACCATCATTTACATGCCACAAAACCACAAAACCTTCGTCCCACTGCCCCAGGGCACAATCCCCATGGCAGGGCCCAAACTCTGCCCTTTTTAAACTACTAAAACCCCAGGGTCCACCTTTCATCACTCCACAAGTACATGGATTTCTGAACTGAAGTATTGAACAAATGCAATAAAAAATCTTATTAATCACTCAGTCCATGAAAAAGTGACCTTTCTCTGCCTCATGGTTAAGCAGCTAGAAACCTTGTGGGTTTAGCTATCAAATTCTCCTGAGCACGAGCAAATCTGCCAGCATATTTTACAAAGCTGAAAAGTCATAAATAGTGGCATTGCTTTATGATATTCACAGTCAATTTGGATTGATCTTTTCTATCATGAGCTGTGTGTGGGCCTCTCCTGAAGATCCTCATGAGACACGGGACTAGGCTTCACCCGGGTCCCTTTCTCTCGGGGTAGACACACAACCCTGTGGTTACTGCTTCACATTCAGATGATTTTGCTGATTCCTGTATAATAATCTGAGAAGAAAAAGTTGAAATGAATCACCCACTCTCATTGGGGTAAAAAGGCCCTGAAAATCTCATTAGTAAAATCTCTCAACCAAGGCCATTTGGAGAAATTCAAGAGGCCACGTAAACTGAGTCCGCCAGCATCCCTGCCCGGGAAGGGAAGGCCGGCCTCTCGAGCAGGTAGGTCAGTTTAAAACTGTGTTGGTAAATTAGGCCTGCCTCATTTCCAAAACAAAGAGATGGAAAACTTGGACGTTAGTAAGATAAAGGGAAGGTTCTATTCCTATTTCCCAAATGTTCACGATGCCATCATGTTTCAGGGAAGACAGGTCATGTCTCCTGCCTGATAATCCAACCAGGCCAGCCTGGCCAGGCCTATTCAGAAACTCAGAATTACAGTCATTTCCACAAGGGCCATGCAGTCGCAGGGGCACAACAGTAAGGACTGGGAAACTGCCTGCACTTGGACTTGTGGGTCACAAAACGGCCTCTCCTGCCTCTTGCCCAGTGACACCCCTGAACTTGACCCTGCTCCCAGGCAGGGCTCTCCTAGGTGACTATCTTGGTAAAGACGCAGTCACAAGGGCATGTGCTGATATAAGCAGGTTTCCTGTGAGAGGGCCGCCCAGTCACCGGCTGGACTCTTGGGCATCAGGCCGTCCACCAGGATAAAGAAGAGTCCGCGTTGCTTCCTGACTTTTTAATGATCGCCATTCTAACAGGTGCTGGAGAAGATGTGGAGAAATAGGAACACTTTTACACTGTTGGTGGGATTGTAAACTAGTTCAACCATTACGGAAAACAGTATGGCGATTCCTTAAGGATCTAGAACTAGAAGTACCATATGACCCAGCCATCCCATTACTGGGTATATACCCAAAGGATTATAAATCA